TCTATCATCTGAATTTGTGTCTGGCTGACTTGTCTGAACATCACAATGATTTATGGCTTGAATTGGAGAAGTCAACCATGCATGTTTCTTAGTTTATCGTTTTATGCTGCCTTCAATTAAACCTCTATAAACAGGATGATGGCTTTACAACGTTGTCCGGCAATAAGGGCGATGAAGGTTTTGCATAAGGACGTGTAGCTTTCAGCCTTCTAATATCCCGTTGAATTTTCCAGTTGGGTTTGGAATGAAAGGAGACTAGTGTTGGTCTGTCCATTTTTCATTAACTAAATCCTGTAATTTGATCATTCTGTGATTCTTATGACACTATAATGTCATTAAGGTATGATCTTGATTATTCCCTGCTTGCATCAACAAGCAAATGCCACCTTAATGATCTGCTGTTTGCTTATTGTATTCCGCTTATTATTTCCCATTTCTCATTATTGCCGTCATTTTTCTTGATAAAAGTGCATGCAGAAATTCAATTTTCTGAGCCTGGAATCCAGGGGCGATAACATGTTTGCTGATTAGAACCTGAATATATGGACTTTAGCATGGCAGTTGAAGAGTAAATGGTGTTTGTGCGAGTGTTCGTGTGTGTATCTCACTCTGCCAGCACAGTCGCCTGCTTGTGTTCCACCAGGGAATCATCTCGGTTCTTGTGTTGACTATACGTATCTAGACTTGTCCTCAAAAATGCAGCAATATTGATATGTGTACTGTGTGCTCCTGTTTAATACGGGCAGTTTGTTAGAGCTTTATTTATATCTTTATCATTCACAACGATGGTGTAACTGGCATGTTTATTGACAAAGGTATAACCAGGGAGATACCATATTGAAAGGCCAGTTACCTGTGTTCATCATTACAGGTTTCAGGCTGTGGAAAACAAGCTTTGATTCTTTGTTTAGAAGGTTTTATTTCTGTCAAGACAGTTGGAAAATATGTTTAAATAAATTCCCCGCTCTGTTGTTTTGGTGTAGTCAACCTTAAAAACAAGTGTACTAACCATAATGGGCCACGAAAAGCATTTTATGTAGCTTTTGTTTTGTTTTGTTTTCTGAGAGCTTAAGAAGGCTTTTTGCTCTTTGGGAACACATGTCATATGGAAAAAAATGGCACAAGGTTATTGAAAAATTTAGAAGAGGAACTGATTTAATTTTCACCCTTAGCACAACGAGGGAAAGCATAAGGACCTTGGCATTGGCGGAAGAGGGTGAAATTAATCAGCATGCTATCTCTAGTGAGCGCCAGTTAATCACAGGCCTCAGCATTTTATTAACAAAATGATATATCTGCTTCAAATTACCATATCAGGAAACTTCCTCCCCCACCCCATGCGTCTCACAGTTTGTCATTTAAAATGGAAACTTGATTAACAACATTTTTAGTCAGGGCTGTGTAGAGAGAGAGAGAAAGTGTGATGCAAATGAAAGGGAAAATAATAATAAATATTACACATATAGTGTCTGGGCCTTGTGTTATGCCTCCAAATATCACATTTTTTATTCGTCCTGACAAGCAGTACTTGTTAACACCACCAAACAGTTGAATGCCACAATTGGTATATTACTTTTCTTACACAACTTTTATAAAAAGATTACATATTCAGTTGATCCAAGAACAAACTGGCCTTTGGATAAATCAGCATTTGGAAAAAGTTAAACTTAGAAGCTTTGACAACCGCATATTTTCAGTTAAGACTTAACTAAGTTTATTGTCATTGACGCTTTTTTGAGAATTGTTTGGAACAAACTGACCATTATCTAAATCTCTTAATTACTTTTGAAAACTCAGGTGTTTGTCTGAGCTTCAGACATTTCACATGCGACAACCGATTGATTTTCATTTATGCTTTTTGAGAATCACTTGCTTAGAACAAAACTGACAAATAATTAACTCTTAAAAGATCAATAGCGACTAATATTTAATCTCTTAATAGAACAACTAATATTTAATCCCTTAGTAGAACAATAACAAATACCGTATTGGCCCGAATATAAGACGACCGCGTTTTTTCAGATGTATTTCCAAGAAAAAAACATCGTCTTATATTCGGGACAATACGGTAATCTTTAAACGCTTAATAGAACAATAGCAAGTAATATTTAATCTCTTAATAGAACAATAGTAACTGATATTTAATCTCTTAATAGATCAATAGCGATTCATATTTAATATCTTAATAAAACAATAGTGACTAATATGTAATACCTTAATAGAACAATAGCAACTGGTATTTAATCTCTCAGTAGATCAATAGTGATTAATATCTAATCTCCTAATAGAACTAGCAACTGATATTAAATCCCTTAATAGAACAATAGCGACTAATATTTTAAATCTCTTAATAGAACAATAGCAACTGATTTTTAATCCCTTTATAACAATAGCAACTGATAGTTAATCTCTTAATAGATCAATAGCGATGAATATTTAATCTCTTAATGGAACAGTAGAATTAAATCTAATCAAATTAGATTAAGTCTAATTGAAACTGTAGTTTAATCAAATCAAGAGCTTGTAAATCGGAATCTAATCAGTTCTTGAAACCTGTATCGGTACTCAGCCCTAGTATTTAACACTTTAAAACAGGACTGACACCGTATTCTGCTGCTGTGTGAACATGACCTTATTGTGTTGGTGCCGTGTTTTTGTTGTTTAATGTTCTGATATGTTGAGATATAATGTTGTAATGTTGTGATATGCAAGAAAAATAACTAAGTGTTTACAGTGAGCCTACTCCCAACTACACTGAGGGAAAAGCTTTATTTTTTCTTAACCATCACTCAGTATGGTTATTCAGTGTTCAAAAGTGTGCATTTTTCGGCCATTCCCTTTCAGCGATTGGTTTCCATTCACATGCAACCACATAAAAGATGAACCCAGTCTCCATCTGAGAAAGTGATGAAAAATACTGCTTCTTTTTAACTTAGATTTACTAGCTCCATCACCACCAAGAGACAGACCCCCCTCCATTTGTCCCAATACACTCCAATGTCCTGCTCATTTTCACAACATTTAGCCCAATTGTTCCCGCACTCAGGACCCTGCCATGCCCCGGTGCATGCTGGGATGGAGTTCATGGCGAAGAGGTGTGTTTGAAGATCCTTTGCATGAGATTTTTTATTTTTTTCCCCACTCAGTCAGAACAGACCGGAAAAGTCAGATTCCAGTGTGTGTGTTTGTAGTTGGAAGAAGTGAGCTGTGGCCGTAAGTCCAGATGTGCGTTCATTCTCTTGGGGAGGCAGCAGGAAAGAGAATCCGAAGAATCATCAGCTCTTAAATTTCATGCATCACAATTCATGTGTCTGTGAACATTGTATGTGATACCGAGCCGCCCATTCCTAGATAAATAAATCGCAGGTGGTGTACAGATCATAGGGAATGGTTGTTGCATGGGTAATATGCTTCCGTTTCCCATCCTGCCTCCTGCCTCTATAATCTTTCAGTATTGTTTTTTTTTTCCCTCAATTCCTCTACAGTTATAGCATATATTTGACATTTCCACCCAGGGTTGGTGCTAAAATGTAATGATTCTATACAGTTGCAGCTACTGTTTTAGTGCGTTTTATTGTTTGTAAGACATAACACACTAGTAAAAATGTTTAAAGTTGCACAAATGCATAGTCTTACTTTAATAGTGTATTACCTGCTTAAAAAAAAATCTTAAACCAGTCCAAGTTGGTCTTCCCAGCCTGGTCAGGCTGCTCTATTGGGTGGTTATAGATTAGTTTTGGGCACTTTTCTGCTGGACAGGATGGGATATCAGCTGGCTGTCGAGCTAAACACCAGCTTGCCTAGGCTAGGAGACGTTAAACTAGGTGAAACCAGCAAACCGGTAAACCAGTTTAGGCTAATTTTTCAGCAGGGTTAATTACATTGCATGTGTGCCCTATTCATACAGTAGGACCCAAAAGTGTGAAACTGCATTGAAAATCATTGAGATTTTATTTAAACATGGAATCTGGGGCTGCATCTAATGATTATTTTGATAGTAGATTAATCCGATGAAACAAACAAACAAACAAAAAACTAGTAATTATTCATAAAAATTAATACTTTGAAATAAAATTAATTTTAATCTATTTTTTAATTATTACAAATTTTTTTAAATTATTCTTTTATTCTTATCCTTATTCAGTTTAACTTTTCACTCAAATTACGAAAAAAAAAAAAATCTAACTTGTGGACCACACTGTATGCATGCCTCTATAATTTTATCATTTAGTTCTCAGACATCAGACATCTGTGCTTTGTTTCACATCCATGCACTTGAAGAAGCCAGATTAGAATGAAAGGGAGCCCAAACTGTTTTAAATGGAGCGGATCCTGCAGACACACAGGCGGTAGACTCATCCCATACCTTCTCTAAAGGAGGCAAATGTCTCTCCTTCTAGCGCACAGGGCCTTTGATCAGTGCCTGTTGTTATATGTGATGATTTTGCCGGTGTCGGTGGTACAGGCCAGAAATGAGAGCAGCTCTAGTTCATTATAATAGGCTCATCGATGCCAGGCTTGTATCACACCCCTTATTGACATCATTTAGTATTGTGTGATTTATTTTATTTGCTCATTTTCTGTAGTTGCATGTGGAGGTTGTACTTTCAAGGCAAGAAAGGCCTTTGAGGAAGCTTCTCATCTCAAATGTCAAAGTGCTCCCCGTGCACACGTGCTAAACGCACACGCGCACACATGCACGCTTGATTTGCATATGAGTGGGGTTTTTGGTGGCATGCCAGGGCTTCACTGAAGAAGACATCAGAGATGAAACCGAGTGGTTTTTTCCCACCTGGAGCTAGCGCTGATTAGCCCCAGAGCAGAGAGGGGAGAAGGCCGACATGAGCAGCTGTGAAATTACAACCTGCTTAATTTAATTACCCATGCTAATTAATTCACATCTACAGCCAAAGGAAAAGGACTTGAGTAAAGAAGTCATTAGCCTAATTACTTAATTAATTGTCTGTGGCGCCGTCCCATTTGAGCTGCCTCTTCATTATCTGATGTTTGGCCCTGGCACCAGTTTAGTATGTTTGATGAAATCTGGTCCCGGTGATAATTTCTCCCCGTCACGCTCCCGTAATGAGAGGTGTGGAGGCTCCATATGGCGGTGTTTGCGCTCGAGTACCCGTTGAGAATGTCACTTGCTGATACTAAATCACCCAGCTTGAGAGTGTTTGTGAGCGTTGCAAGGGGGATCCTGAGGTATAATTTTGACTTCAGTTATATATATATGTGTGTGTGTGTATTTGCTAGATCTGTTCCAGTGATGGGATGTTTATTTTTGGTGTATGTGATCCCAAAAAGACACTATATGTGTGTGTGTGTTAGCATCCATCAATGAGCAGAGATTCCTTTCTCTTTCCGTTCTTTTTCTTCTTCAACCTTGGCTCTTTGGAAATATGTGCCTCTACCTACATTCCAAAAACATATCATTGTATGCATAAAAGTCACTGCAGTTTCCAGCTGAAATGAACACTAGTGGCAATGAATCACCAATAACTTTATTCTTTTTCACGCAAATTTTGATTGTGGGGGCAGATTATGAGTTAATACAGACTTTCTTGCGCAATGTTGTCACTTCAAAATGCTTTTACATAATTCATTTTGATGTTTGCATCATATAAGCAGGTTCATATGTATGGCTTTTTTTGCTGTGGTAAACTTGCAGTTTTAGCTAACATTTGCTTTTGTTAACAATATTGGTTAGGTTTAGTGTAGGTGGTACGGTCATTTCAAACACAAGAGCTTTAACTTTTTAATGTCATGCACCGAACATTTAATTTCCGACTTGCCACAATATGTACAACAACCAACATAATAAAACATTGCTAGATTATTTTTCATCTGTTTTGGATAAAATGGAACATGCTTTTAGCGAAACTTACCAGACATTTCACTTTGAAAGTGTTGTAAAACGTGTGAAAAGCAACAGAATATCATTCTTCAGAAATGTCATCACAGGCACGCTTTTCCAATTAGTCTGGGTTGTTTTTTCCCATATTAAATCAATCATTCTTTCTCTGTCCAACAGTCAGCTCTCTTTCTCTCCCAACAGTTCATCAGACCATGCCACTTTGGCATCTCTCTGCCATGTGCCGCCTGCTGCCGGCTTGCCAAGACATCGACGTTAATGACCTGTGACTATTGAAAGGCCTTTTCATTTACAGTCACAGAGCTGTTATTAAATCCGGAGTGTGTGATTTCTGAGCTGCTGACATCACCAACTGGACTTGAAAAAAAAAATGAGTAGTGATTTGACATTGGTTATTTGATGATAGACCCACCCCTTTGGTTGAGTCAATGTATTCTCTGTTTGAAAATGTTCAACAGACAATTACAGATATAGTAGCTTTCTCAAGATATTATGTACTGGTGCCATATTGGGTAAAGTCACAAAAAAAAAATGCATGGATGAATGTGTCGACGAATTATAATAAAGTCAATAACGTGCATTTAGAAAATACATTTCAGAATTTCTTGCCAAGTTTAACAGCCGATATTTCCTATTTAATTGTTCATGCTCATTTCCCCTATTTTTACATGTAGATTAATTTATCTCCCATCATCTAACACGTCATTTAATTGGTGCATCTCTAATTATTGGCATATTTGATACAAACAACGTATTGTTTTGATGGCACCACTGAGCCAGCTTTTTGGGGAAGTTATACTTCAGATGTCTTACTTACAGCTGCCTCTGCATGTTAATTTTGCTGAAATACAGAAAATTACACGCATCCAGCTTTACTTTTTTGTCTAAATGTTAAAACCGTGACAGTGGGATGATATGTTTCCATTTAACCATATCCTACATGGCAAGAAAATAGCATAATGTCACTTTATACATGGGGAAGAAATGCCTATATCTTATGCATTTAATCTGTTTGCATTGTTCTCCATTTTAAGAATAATTTTTCACCGTGCCTCTGCGGAGAATAACCCCACCGCACTCTCATTTAGGATGTTAGCATGCAATATTGATTTGGGTATATTATTATCCCGAGAACATTTGGCTAACTGCACTTTTACGACCCCTGTGTTGGGTTCTCGGGTGAAAACGGGAGTGGCGAGGGATGTTTTACGCTGCTGTGGTGACTTAAGCAATTGGATAGAAATTGATTGAGAGCGTTTGTCCGGAGAAGGCCTGGTTCGAGAAAAGCTAGATATAGGGCTTAATAACCGAGGCTTTGGTTCAAGTGTCAGCTCAGATTATATTATATATTCAAGTGATACCTAGTGTTTGTGCTGAAAGCTAAAAAGCTTTCCTCCTCTGTTCTAACACCATTGGCTGTGGTTTCTGGGAAAGCATTATGTTCGTCATTTATAGACTCCACAGATGTGCCTTGAATAATCCTCATTTTATCCTCCCGCACGTATGGAGCTAATGGATTGTCAATGTGATCAACTAAATTGTCTATTGATTGACAGACCCATACGTGTGAAAAAGCATGCATGTGTGCATGGAACATGTGGAATCAGATGTGCATCAGGATCTCTTTATCACTCTCTGAGGAAGTTTAACAAAGAAATTTATAAATTGAATGCATGTTGTGCATGCAACTTCCTTTTCCTGTCTTTTCTCCATCATACACAATAAATCATGATAGTGTGTCCATGGAGTCCACTTCATAATACGAGACAAATCACGTGCTTTCCACATACACATGGCTCACCTGAGCTAGCAATAGCATGAGGGGAGATTGATTACTCTCCCTTGACGGAATCATGTAATAAATCCACTTCCTTCACTACTATGAAACTTTTCTAGGAATTTGGGGGGGATTCAGGAGAGACGCTTTGTTTTTCATAATGGGCTTGTGTGTTGGTCATTTTGCAGGAGCTCTGTGTGTGTCTTTAGCAGGCTTTCCTTTTGCACATGAATGTGAAATGAAATTTTGACCTTGATGACCTCTTGGCCTCTGTAAGCCCAGGTGCATGATGGGCTTTATAGAAGCTGCCGTTGTCACCTTACTATTTACTCAAAGGGCTGTAAGGAGGAACAACATGGACACGTCAATGATTTAATTATTTTGAGGGCTGAAGCTTTATGCTATCGTGAATCCGGGAAGGTTATTACTAATGATAAGCCTTGTCAAAGATGAATTGTATTTACCTCTATACTGATTCTGTGCATTGTGCCAGACACTGTACAATGGACAGGCCATGCAGACAATAAACTGCAAAGGTTGTTCCTATGAAAGTCTCTTTTCAAGTTTTTAATCTCTGTTACAGAGATTCAAAATCACGCACCTTTTTCTGTCAATTTAAACTCTCCGCTTGCTGTTGAAATGTCCTTGGTAAATCGTTTTATTTCATAAAGCCCAGATGGTTTTGAACAAAGTATAACTAGCACATTGTCCATTTTCTATCTCGTTAAAATCTGTAGTGTAGGAAGAGCTTTGGCCAATCAGGGATTAATGCGGGCGGGTTTCGCAGTCAGGAGATTCAATACTGGACTGAATGGGACATACAGGCCCAGCAAAAATCTCCTGGGGGACTTTGATTGGCAAAATAATTAGCTTATTATGTCCTTTCCAGATAGGTGCTTTTCTCTAGCCAAAGCCCTCTGAAATAATATTTAGGTTTAAGCCCTCATTTCACATTTAGCAATTTGATATTCTATTTGGAGCGCTTCCGTTCAGCGGGGGTCAATTGAGACCTCAGAAATTATAAAATGAAGTTTCATCATCTGATTTGTCGGTCTGAAGACTACGGTTCTCGCAGTCATGCCTTGTGCATAAGTAGGATCCTAAATGGTTATCAGTGGTTATCAAAAGCATGACATTTACAGTTCTTTCCATGAGATAATTTTAATAGACTTTTCTTCTGTCTTAGAGATTGTATTTATTTATTTATTTTTTAATTAATTTATTTATTTTTTGGATATTGAAGTTGATTGATGGTGCACTGTAAAAGCATAATTAAAAATGTGCTTACATCTAAATTAACTGGTTTGATATAAATTAAAATACTATTAGAATATTATTTTCAGTATTTACACTACAGTGTGGTACCTGTTATGTTATATTATACTGTTTTACTATTTTAATGCATTTTATTAAATGTAATGTATTTTATTACTTTTGTGACGTCTTTTTTGATCAATTTAATGCATCTTTGGTGAATAAAAATATCAATTACTTTGAATTGTAATGTATGTAATATATTTACTGTATATATCATTTTAATTAATTAGTTTACTTGTTTGCAGAAAGTGATACTGTAAGGAAGACTGAGAGATTCGCTGGCCTAGGCAGCTTACGACTGGTGGACAGTAGATGATTACAAGCCTCCAAGCCAAAACCATCAGCTTACAATGTGAACAAAACATTTTAACCGCTGAGGTTTGTTTCTCCACACCTTCCCTTCTATTCTCCCCGGCAACACTCCCACACTCTTTTTACTGCATCTCTTTCTGACCCCCATTCACTGGCACACTCAACTTTGCACAATGCACTGTGGCCTTCCTCTACACAAATAAAACACACAGAGAACGAACTCTGCAGCCTCAGAGCTCAGCTATGAGAGAATAAGCTGAGGGGAGAGCAGGCCATGCAGAAAGCAGTGTCGAATCCCTCAAATTTGTCACAGAAACACATAGTGTCTGTTACTCCAAGAATTAAGCTAAATCTGGTGGGGGGTGTTAGGGGGTGGGGGAAGCAGTCTCAAAAGTGACATTAGCACTTTTTATCCATCCAGTCACAAGACTTGTTGATGAAACCTGTAGTAAAAATTACAAAGTTCAGGGGCCTTTTTGTTTGAAGCTCTTTCAAGGATGGCTCTAATTGCCTTGTGGTAGATTGAAATGTCTAATTGGCTTATGCTAGTGTTTTAGCTTGAAGGACTGTGTGTGCTGTGTTGGTGAGTTTGTGTACTTTTAAATGTGTATGTAACCCATAAGGTGACTTCAAAAATCCATAATTTATAATATATAAATATATAACATAACATTAAAACATATAATATAATATAATAATATTGTTCTGTTCTGTTCTTCTCTATTCTATTCTATTCTATTCTATTCTATAGAAGTAGTGCAGAACCTTTAATATTTCATATTCATTTTGTCATACTTTTTCTGTATTAAATGAAATCTGTATTTTTTTATTTGCCATAAAACTATCCTAAAACAAGATACACCGACATGCATTTACATGAGAGCAAAATTTAAATATATAAAAAATATATATTAAATTTAAATTAACAGTAAACATTTCTTTTTACCTCATTGGTAACTTAAAATGATAGTTAACCCAAAAATGAAAATTTGATGTTTATCTGCTTACCCCCAAGGCATCCGAGATGTAGGTGACTTTGTTTCTTCAGTAGAACACAAACGAAGATGTTTAACTCAAACTGTTGCAGTCTGTCAGTCATATAATTTAAAAGAAAAAAAAAAAGTAAGTTGTGATGTTCTAAAAACAGGTTTTATTGATTTAGCATAAAGTGAATGTGTACCTTCTTTGAGTGAATGGGTTACATATTTTTTTTACAGGAAAACAATGTTCTTTCCTTTTTTCATTGTTTTTTTCTTACAGTGTGGCCGTCGGCTGTCATTTGAATCTCTGTGAGGGGATTTTTTCCTGCCTCAACTGTCCTCTATTCTCACAGTGCTAGTGAACCCGGCATTCTCTGCCATCTGCGCTGACTAGACCCATTCAGCATTTATGTCTGCGTGTGTGTTAGAAGAGAACATTAAAAACTCCCTCACACATCCCACAATGCCTCAGAATGTTCTCTGGAGTCCTTGCAGTCACGGAGTAACTCTGTCTGCTGTGGAACCTCCTGAGGCCATAAACACTCCAGTCACCGCGCACATCTGCTTTGTCTGCCAGATCTTCCTTTTCTCTCTGTTGTGGGTGCATTTGCACAAAACCTCTTGCCTGTGACATGACAGGGCAAAATGACACAGTTTTAATGCACCCTCCACTGAAACACAAAGATGTGAGGAAGATTTGTTTGCCGACAAAGCTGGAATTTCATCATTTTGTGGATCAACAACACTCTGAACTGTAATATTTAGCTGAACTGGGTCATTCGTTTCACCCAATGTATGTCTTGATATATTGGGTAAAATACTAAACTCATCTTTAAAGATTGAAATCATATTAGTTTTCATTTATCACAAATTAACAATTAAATGAACTTGGGTGAATTTTAAATCATTTTAGTGGATGCTGCATTTTTTCCCCAGCTTGTAACTTGTAAAAAATGGCAGTTTATGAAGAAATCTTCTTCTTCTTCAAAATGTTTCAAATATTTATATATGTATTTTATTAATTTCATTCACACATTCAATCTCCTCTCTTCACCATAATGAAACGCCAGCCATTTTGCCCTCTCTCAGTTGTGACGGAGTGATGGCTGTATGTTTTTTGACAGCGTTTTAAAATACAGCTTTTGTTGCAAATACAAATCCTGAGCCATGTATTAGTAATAGACTTTTTCTAACACGTTCCCACAAGTG